CTGTCCCAGAATATCCCTCTTCTAATGGTCCAAGCTCTTTATTTTGATTTCGAGACTGAATTTATTATTGACCAGTTTTTATGCATCTGTTCTTTTGCTGTCATTGTATTTTTAGCTTAAATAGCTTTTCTCCCTCTAGTGTTTAGTTCCCATGATGTATTTCTAGAGTACAGTTATAGCCACTCTTTTTGTTTTGCTAAGTTAAACAAAGTGAAGTTCCTTGTCTTCTTTTGCAGGATAGACATTCTGTTCCCTAGTCATTCTGGTAGCCCTTCTCTGTACCAATTCCAGTTTGAATTAATCTTTCTTGAACATAAAATCATAGAAAAGAAGGGCTGGGAAAGACCTGAGGGAGGGTCTAGATCAGATAAACCTCTTGAAGACAAAAGCATCTCTAACCAGTGGTTCTCAACCTTTTTAGAGTCAAGGCAACCCTTGGAAAATGCCAGCTCTTAGTTTTCGCTCCTCTTTTGACTACAGAAAAATAATAGAACAATTCTGTTGCAGAGACGTCAGAGAGACTGCAGCGTGTCAGAATACTTGTTACACTATGGTTTCCTGTTTGAAATCTCTGAGTTAATCTTGTGAATTGTGTTTGCACACTAACAGTGCTAACACTCCCTGGCACTGCAGCACCCCTAAAAAGATATCAAAGCACCACGGGTTTCTTTTGGCACGCTAGTTTAGAATCGCCGATTTAAACAGTCTCATCCAAGAGGTTGAATAACTGGCTAGTAAGAACTTCTGAGGATGGAGACTCCACAACCTCTCTCAGTGTGTTGCAGTTCTAAATCACTCTCACTTATACTTTGAAAAAAATCTTCCTAATATTCACTCTAAATTTCCTTTGTTGCAATTTAAGACCCTTATTCCTCCTTAAAGGAGGCCACAGAGTATATCACCATCCTCTTCCTAGTCACCCTTTTTTTTTGTATCAGAATCCCCATTCAGTCTTTTCTTCTCCAGATTCAGTAATCCCACTCTTTCAAACTTTCCTTGTAAATCATGTTTCCCCCTAATCATTATTGTTGCCTTCTGCAGGATTGTTTCCAGTTTATTTTCATCTTTCTTGAAGTGTGGAGCCCAAAATTGAGCACAGTAGCTCAGTGTCATTTTTGTTGTTTTTTTCTCCCAATCAATGCCTTTTTCCAACTTGGAGGCTGTCTGTGCATTATGAATATCCCAAGGTAGTAATTAAGCTAGGTGAGTCTGGAGCCCTCTCCTACTAGATTTCCTCTTTCTTAAGGTGCTGCATCTTGGCAACTGCTGTACCATTGATTTAAAAGAATTTCAAGTGTCTCCCATATTAGAAGCTCTGAGTGCTTGAGTCCAATGGACTTTAAAAATGTGTTTTCTTAGTTTATTAATTTGCTTAGTAACAGATGTATTTTCTTTATCCCTTTATTAATTTAAACTGTTAATGCAAATTATTTAGTATGACCAGTTGTTGTATAAAGCCTTTGCTACATTGTTGGTTATTTGGTGAAGAGATCTGTTAGCTATTATGTTTAGCAACATCTGAGCTCTACCTTTATTAGTAGTAGTGGTTTGTCAGTGTATATCTGGGACATTAGTTTTTCAAAATAATGCAGTTCATTAGAGAAAAGTGAATAATACATCCCTTAAGTAAAATTTTGTAGGTGTGACAATGTGGCTATTTCTCATCCTTGGTTAGGAGGTCTTGTCCTTGTGGGCAAATGTTTCAAGCCATGTAGCAATCTTTTGGCAGATGCACAGTAATCTGTAGCCCCTCCATAATGGACATGAAGAGAAGTAATCCCCAATTGGGATGCAAATTTTCTTTTTGTGATACGTATAGTACACAAGCCTGTGGAGACTTACCAGTTCTGGGAAGTGGAAACTACTAGATTTATAGTAGTGGTGAGTTGAAACATTTATAATACCAGTGAGTGGATATTTTAATAGTCTCTTTTCTGTGAAGTTTTGAGCTCTGCTAATCAAAAGAACGTGGAGTGCATGGGATTGTAATGTTTTATACTAGAGCCCTGTTTTTATTTCTTTTTCTCTATTTGTGGACTTCATAGATATGGTGGAATGGTAAAATCATGAGAAGGGATATGGGAAATCATGAGATGATAAAAATCTTACTGTTTTTAAAATGTTCTGGTTTTTGAACATTTAGGTGATACTGTGTTCCTATTTTTAGGCTTTTATTTCTGTCATTTTGAGGTATAAAAGCTTACTTTAAACAAAGAGAAGGTTTTAAAAAACAATGCTCAGGTTCTCATATAATTACTTGACAGCAATAGCTGGAGCTTTAAGCAAAATACTAAATATTGCCATCTTCACAATAAAAATAACAAAAAATGCCAGTTACTTCCAAATATGGGCATGCATGCACCAACACCTTATCACAAAATTAAGAAGGGTAGAGTTTTGGAGTACATGTTTATTGAGAAATAAGCTACCCTGTAAGGATGGAAAGTGCTTGGAATGCTCCTTGAATCTGATTTCTGAATATTTGGTGCCCTATCCTAGTATTAGCAGATTTTTGGTAGAGATGTACAGACTGTCTTTAAACAGTACTCCCTGCTTATGAAGCATTCTCTCTAGGAAAGGGATTGGGGTGGTTGACAAAAAAATGTTGGGACTAACTTTGTGAAAGCTTAATGATCTACTCTTCTCTGTCTCTGTTACTTATAATGGGAGCAGAACATAGTTACAGTTAAAAAAAAAAAAAAATAGATATTCATCTTGATGGTATTTCTGGTTTGAATTTTTAATATCCATATGAGAAAATTGATTTAGCTATTGTGCGGGCCGGGAGTGACCCAAGCCCTTTTCCGCGCTGCACGCAGGCTGTGGCCAGCAGTCCGGGCACGCTGGGTCGGAGAGGGAAGGCCTTCGAGCTGGAATTAGGCACAAACGTGTATCGGTAGTTTAAAAGATTGTTTACTTACACCGAGATGGCAGTGGTGCAGGCTGAAAACTTGCTCAAGTTGCGGTTACAGACAGGAAAGAAGAGAGGCGGACAAGAGTTCTAGACTCGTGAACTCTAGCCCAATCCGGCTGAAGGCTCTGAACACGCGAGCCCGTCGTGTCAGCCGAAGAAAATACTCGTCCGAAAGAGCTCTGAATAAACTCACACAAAGTTTGCTAGGCTCTGTGGGTCCGGTTCTTTTTCGCGCAGGAAGGGATACGTCTAGGAATCTATTGGCGACGGGGAGAGGCTGGAGGCTGATCAGACCTCTGTTGCCTGCTTGAAATGCACTGGGTCCGTAAGGATCCGCAGCGCTTAGAGATCTTCACACAGTGTGAAGTCTCCTCCTCCCAGTGTTCGTGGAGTCCTCCAACTTGGGCGGAAACCACTCAAGCCTCTTATACGGCTAACAAGCCCATCCCTAGCCGCCACGTGTGAATAATTTAGAACTGGCCAATAATGGGACTCGAATTAGCATACAAATGGCGGGAACTCTTTGCAACGAGCATTTCTGTGCTGCAACAAAGAAATGCACCCTGCAAAGAAAGCTTCAAATTGGCGGGAAATTCTCCCTTGCACCGGGGTTCTCTTTTGCAGCAGAAAACACCACCGTGCAAGGAAGCTATAATTTAGCGGGGACAATTTAGCAGTGCCGAAGCACACAAAAACAAAAATCACACCCTTTGGGTTGTGACAGCTATATTTTCAAATGTTAGTCCTTTACAAAATATCCACTGCTTAGTTTTTGTGAAATAAAGGATACTTGTATTGTGTATAATAAGTGGTTTAGCAAATATACATCATCATTGTCTCATGGCTGCTTTTGTGATGTTGGTATTGGTTTTATATTTTTATTTAGTTTAAACTTTGATAGATAAAGCAGAATTTCAACAGGTTAAATTTAACAGCTATAATTTAGCTTTTTAGATAATGTTATATATAATCTGATATAATTTGTTTTAATTTACCCATAAAAACAGACCAAATACAAGGAAGTAGTTTACTTTGTCACAAAAAAGATCAAAAGTTCAGTGAAAGGGCATACAGAAATTGCAGACATACGATATACAATATTTTAAAAAGTACTGAAAAACTGGCAGTGTATTGCAGAAAATCATTGGAACACAGCTCCAAACATGAAATGTTATATCTGTGGTAATTCCCAAAATAATTGCTTCATAACTAGAAGCAAGTGATACAAAAGAGAAAAGAATATCAAGAGTTTGCAAGATTAAGTTGTAGGTAAAATATCTTATGCCATTCTTTGATAGCTAAGTTACTATAATGGCAAGGTTGCATGTGCATGTATGAAGGGCTTGAGTCAGTAGTCTCCGTACTGAATGACGGATGAATGAGAGGTTAATAACTCCCATCATGCAGTATTTCAAAGTTGCTTAACCTACTTAAAATACTTAGTACTGCTGAATCTTAGGGACACAGCTCTTCCATGTAGTAATCTTGACTATTGCATGCATGCATGCAGTTTTAGATAAATAAAAATGCACACTTTTCTGCTGTTTCATAATGGATTAAAAGCTGTGCTGAGCTGGAACCACATTTTGTTTATTGGTCTGTGTCAGATATTATTACTTTTCCAAAAATAAAGATTACTGAAAATTGTATTTGTAATTGGTAATACTTAATCAAAAGTACTTTATCAACAAAAGTGAGAGTAATACAATTAATCTGTCACTTGGTAAATTCTTTTCTTGCAGAAAAATGAGAGAAGTAGAGTAAATAATATTTTGATTTTAAGAATAGTTAGTTAAAAATAGTAACTCCTGCCACATAGTCTTGTCCCATGTCTTGTTGTAAATATGTTACAGATCTTTATTTTTATCTTCATTACATTTGTTACAATTGTAAGACCTTTGCATGGGTTTACTGTTTCTTTTGATACTGTTGGTATATTTAGGTGCCTAAATGATAGCTGTATTGCTATTCTCCTTTGACCCGTTCATATCTAAGGGTTGCTGAACATCTGCGTCAACCATTGACTTTGTAGGATTTGTAGGTAGTCTAGTTAGCATCTGTCAGGTACAGCTGACAAGTGGTTGTTGGGTTGGGGGTGGGGGGTTAAGACTAGAGATTGAACTACAAACTTTTTTTTTTCTCTTCTTGTACTTAAAGACTATTATCCAGAGTGGCTTTCCTCCCACTTTGGGTGACATCTTTCCTCTTGTGTATAGTGTAGGTGCCTAAATACCATAGTGATGAGCATAGTGTAAATACTAAGTAACTACATCTTTTAAACTCTCCAGTTGTATAAGGCAAGACTGTCCTGCTTTGGCATGAGTGGAATCGCATATGGCACTGGGAACCCTTCCCCACAGTGTGGACAGCAGCTGTGTGTGGCCCCCCCCTGTCCCCTGAGCAGCACCAGTGGCATGTGGCCCTTCCACCACTGTATGGCAAAGGGAGAGACAGCTGCAGGGGCTTGCAGGTTGCATGCATCCCAAGGGCCACCAGTTGGACAGCCCTGGTATAAGATATGATTCTCCCAGGTAATGTTCTTAATTTTCCAAAGACCTAGAGTGTTTTTCCTTCTGTTCCCGTTACTTTTTAGCATTGTCCTCACAAAACCAGTATTTTAAGTTGTTCTTCTTTGTCTGTCTCCTGTTTGTTTTTTCTTACCTTTCTTCCACAGCTCCTGTGTCAGTGAATGCTTCATTATTTATCTGAATAAAAAGTGTCATCTTACATTTCCTAGCTATATCAGAAGCCAAAATCAATTTGTTTCTTTGATATGTTTTTAATTTTACTAAGTAAAAAAATTGTTAACCGTCTAGGTGCGTCTTGAGCTTGTCTAACTGACTGTAGTAATTTAAAACACTTTTATTAAAATGATGAAAATGAAGTGTTGAACGGGGTTCAAACTTTAGGGTTGTTTGTTTCCCATAAAACGGTTGAACTAAAAAAGTTCTACATTTCTAGGTCCAAGGGTAGCCCAGGATGGCTGCAGCTTCATATGATCAGTTGTTAAAGCAAGTTGAGGCACTAAAGATGGAAAACTCAAACCTTCGACAGGAATTAGAGGACAATTCAAATCATCTTACAAAACTGGAAACTGAGGCATCTAATATGAAGGTATTGCAAGTATCTGTTTCTGTACATGTTATTGCTTTTAATGTATCTTTTTCACCTCAAATATTTCTGTATGTATGCTTTACCAAACTCTGTATACTTCAGGACTTTTCTGTGGTTGTAGCTTCTTACAGAAGTCCCCGTGTAATACCTTTGAAGGAAAACCTTACTGATCATGGCTATTAACATTCATAAATGCTATTAAATACAAAATAACAATGATGTCTTACAACTGTATCTAGAAATATCTTTCTGTTTAGGTATGATCTACTGTTCTTGTGTGTGATAAAGAACTCTACTGTTTTACCATTACTGTACTTCTTAATGCGGAGTCCAGGCAGCTGACAGTTTATGACAAAGCAAGATTGCGTAGTTTTTAAATTCATGAAACACTGGACTATTATACAGCGTTTCAAGATATTTTTCACTACAAAAAGTGAGATTGGTGCTTATTAAATATACTAATAGATTTAATAAAAAATTCCAAGACAAATTGAACTTAAAATACTGGCGCAAGCTTTTAGGCTTGCTGAACAACAGTTGTCTCCCTGTTGCATTACTTCTTTACATAACCAAGTGGCAGATTGTGTTAGATAAGTTTTCTTTTTAATTTAATTTTGTAAAATGTTTCTTTGCTATTGGATGCAGTGATTCTTTCTTTAAAGATATTCTTTGAATTTTCTACCTTTTCAGAACACAGATTGTGTGGTGTAGCTTCACTGTAATATTGTCACTCTTACTACTCTTTTCTGAATAATTGCCACCAGCCATGTTAGCACTTTGAAGAATTGAATTGCTTTTAATGTAGTTATATTTCTATTCCTTGCATTGCCCTTTAAATCCATGAAATTGGTGCTCTGTCCTAAGATTGGAATTAAATTATAGCCCTGTAGACCATTATGTATGTTATACATTTACTGATACATCTTAAAATCTGAATAAAACTAATGTGTATGTAAGCTTTAGAAATTATAGTTGTTGTTTTTGAGGACAGCATTACAGTTTGCTAATACATTCCCTTCTTTACCCATTCCACTGCTGTCAGAAGTGAGACAGGGTCACAGTCCCCATTGGATTTGGTTCATGGAGCTGGGAGGCTTTGGTGGAGTTCAGTAGGATAGGGCTTCATTCTCCTGTTGCTGCACTATACTGTGTTGCTGCAACAGTGGGGAGAAGTCCTGGGTCCTTGCGTTCAACCCCCTCTGATTTGAACTCGGTCATTCTAGTTCACTGTCAGAAAACCGTGCTGATCACTGCCCTGAGGATCTGTAATGAGAGAGGGGAAGAGAGTGAATTCCTACACGGCCTGTTTTAGAGCAAGGAATTGAATTTGGGTCGAACTTGGGTCTTTTACATACCAGGGGAGTGCCTTAACCACTGGGATTTTTCTCTCTCGTTCTGTCCTGATGGAGTTATTCTCCATTGTATACATCAGTGGTTCTCAACTTGTTTAAACTCAAGGCACCCGTTGGAAAATATCTGCTCTTAGTTTTTGCTTGTTTTTTGACTACAGAGAAATACTAGAGTAATTCTTCTGTTGCAAGGGACTCAAAGATCATAGCAGGTCAGACTGTGAATTCTTAATTGGAATCTCTGGGTTTATCCTGTGATACATGTTTGCGCACCAAAAAATGTGAATATTTTGTGGCACCCCATGGCACCCTTAAAAGGACCACAAGGCATACCCTGGTTAATTACCATTAATATACTTAACTAAGTTTTCCTTAAACCATTGAGAGTGGACCTGATTTCATAGTTTGGGCATTGTGGCACTAACCTGGTATGGGGAAAATGCAGGTTTGCTCTCTGTCCTATTTGAAAACAATAAAAACACCTTGAAAACCTTCTGACCAATTTAAAATATATAAGTATTGCTGTTAACTTTACTGTCAGGTGAGAATAGCACTTCAGGGTAATAAAATATAATTTATAAATAAGTACCATATTTACTGAAATACAAGATTAGATTTTCCCCCAATCAGCATGGAGGGGAAAAGCCCCTTGTCTTACATTCACATACAAGGAAACCACATTAAATACATTGTCTATCTTTGAACTGCTGCTAAAAGCAGCATGTGATCAGTAATGGAAACAAACTGAAGTTGATTAAATACAACCAGCACTGAACGTGAGTATGTAGTACATAGCTTATATTGTGCAAACATTCTTATGGGAACCTATCAGAAGGATAGTGCAGCCCATTTGACTAAACTAGGTAGGAGTGCCCACTGAGCACAGTCCCTTTTACTGCTGACTCCTTTTCAAGTTATTGTGAGCCACTACACTGCATACAGTCCAACTTCTTCCTCTTCACTCCCACTGCTGAGCTGCATGTTTCTTTTCCATTTCCAGTGTTTCCTGTTGCTTTGCCATCCTTAAATGCTTGGCAAATATCAGCAGGGGTCAGAGGAGGGGCAGGGTGCAGTGCTCTGGGTCAGAATACAAGGGGTTGCAGGGAAAGGGACTTAATGGTGGGGGTCTGCTACAGACCACCCAACCAGGGGGAAGAGCTGGACTGGGAATTCTCAGGTCAGCTCATGGAGGCAGTTAAGTCAAGTGATATGGTCATCATGGGTGATCTGAACTACCTGGACATTTGCTGGGCGGAGCAGTCAGCCAGGTCTGACCGCTCACAGGTTCCTTGCTGAGATACAAGACCTCCACCTAACCCAGGAGGTGCACAGTTCCACTAGGGGGAATGCCCTGCTGGACCTGGTCCTGGCCACAGGCGACGACCTGGTGAGGGGACTCCAGGTTCTCGACCACCTGGGCGATAGCGATCATTGCCTACTGGAATTCCCCATCCAGTGGAAGGGGTCAAGGGCCTGCAGCAAGGCAGTAGCCCTTGACTTCAGGAGGGCCGACTTCAACGAGTTGAGGAGATTGGTAGGAGATGCATTGCAGTCCTGGAGAGTTAAGAGAACTAGGTGTCCAAGACGAGTGGTCGTTCCTTAAGGAGATGATCCTCCTAGCCCAAGGGGTGACACTTCCAATGCGAGTCAAAGCGGGCAAGAGTGCTCAAAAGTCCCCTTGGCTCACCAAAGGCAGTCGGGGACGTCTGAAAGCCAAAAAGGAGGTGTACATCCAGTGGGAGTGGGGGGCTATCACCAAAGAGGATTATATCTCCATAGCGCAAGTCTGTAAGAAGGCTGTTAGGAAGGCTAAGGTGGAGACAGAACTAGGGCTAGCAACAAGGATCACGGACAACAAAAAGTCCTTTTTAAATACATAGGGCATAAAAAGAAGGCACCAGGCAATGTGGGGCACCTGCAGGATACGCTTGGCAATCTGGTTGTTGCACCAGATGAAAAAGCAGACCTTTTTAACAAATTCTTTGCCTCTTATTTTTCTGAGCAGGGACCAGGACATCTCCCCCACCAGGATTCAGGATAGATTCAGGAGTGACTCTGCCAGGCCTAGGGTCAGGAAAGACCAAATTAGGGAAATTCTGTGGGGGCTGGACATGTTCAAATCCCTAGGGTGCTGAGGGAATTGGCGGGGGTTGTTGCGGAGCCTCTGGCACGGCTTTATGAGCACTCATGGTGCTCTGGCCAGGTGCCAGAAGACTGGAAGAAGGCTTGTGAGGGACCAGCAGGGGGGGAGAATGCTCAAGGGCAACCAGCCTGGGTTCATCAAGGGCAGGTCCTGTCAGACCAACCTGATAGCCTTCTACGATCAGGTCACAAAATCACTGGACACAGGTGTCACAGTGGATGTAGTCTTTCTTAACTTCAGGAAGGCCTTCAACACTGTCTCTCACCCAATTCTCATTAAAAAGCTAGGTGGCTGTGGCATTGATGCCTACACAGTCAGATGGGTTGCAAATTGGCTAGGGGGCCGCACCCAGAGAGTGGTGGTGGATGGGTCATATTTGACCTGGAGGGAGGTGGGCAGTGGAGTCCCCCAGGGCTCAGTCCTCGAGCCCGTACTGTCCAATTTCTTTATTAGCAACTTGGACGAGGGAGTGAAAAGCATCCTGTTCAAATTCGCTGATGACACCAAGATTTGGGGTGAGGTGGGCATGCTAGAAGGGAGGGACAGGATACAACTGGACCTGGACAGGTTACAGGTGTGGGCGAATGTGAATAGGATGGGATTCAATACTGACAAGTGCAGGGTACTGCACTTGGGCGGAAAGAGCCAGCAGCATACCTATAGGCTGGGGAACTCCCTTCTCAAAAGCACTGTGGCAGAAAGAGATCTTGGAGTCATCGATTGTAAAATGAACGTAGGCCACCAATGTGAGGACCTGGTCAGCAAGGCTAGCCACACCTTGTCATGCATCATGAGCAGGTCCAAGGAGGTGATCCTCCCCTTCTATGTGACACTGGTCAGGTCACAGTTGGAGTACTGTGTCCAGTTGTGGGCACCGCACTTCAGGAGGGATGTGGCCAGCATCGAGAGGGTCTAGAGGAGGGCCACTCTCATGATCAGGGGGCAGCAGAGCAGGCCCTACGAGGAGAAGCTACGGGACCTGAACCTGTTCAGCCTTCACAAGAGAAGGCTGAGAGGAGATCTAGTGGCAATCTGTAAACTTACCAGGGGGAACCAGAGGGGAATGGGTGAGACCCTGTTGCCCCGAGCACCTCCTGGAGTAATAAGGAATAATGGCTACAAGTTGATCGAGAGTAGTTTCAGGCTAGACATCAGGAAGCACTACTTCACAATCAGGGCGGCCAGGATCTGGAACCAGCTTCCAAGGGAAGTGGTGCTGGCTCCTACCTTAGGGGTCTTTAAAAGGAGGCTTGATAACTACCTAGCTGGGGTCATATGAGCCCAGTATTCATTCCTGCCCAGGGCGGGTGGTCAGACTTAATGATCTGCCCAGGTCCCCTCCAACCCTACATCTATGAACCAAAGGAGTCCCAAACGATTCATACCAAACTCCTTTGTTGCCCCCTTTCTCAGTCTGTCACATACGACTAGTGTGACCCTGTCGTCCATGGGGCGAAGATGGCTCAGGTTGCCCTGTGCCTCATCTGCATATAAATTTTTGGAGGATC